AGTATCTTGGTGGACACCTATAATCCCAGCACTTTGGGAGGCCGAGGTGGGTGGATCACCTGAGGTCAGGAGTTCAAGACCAGCTTGGCCAACATGGTGAAACCCCATCTCTGCTAAAAATATAAAAATTAGCTGTTAGCCAGGCATGGTAGCAGGCACCTATAATCCCGGCTACTCAGGAGGCTGAGGCAGGAGAATCACTTGAACCCAGGAGGCAGAGGCTGCAGTGAGCTGAGATTGCACCATTGCACTCCAGCCTGAGCAACAAGAGCAAAACTCCATCTTAAAAAAAAAAAAAAATCCAAACAGAGGGAGTGCTGAGAGACTCTAGAGCTGCAGTTACCACTCCAGGATCAGAAAGATGGGCTGCGGCCACTGCTGTTTGGAACTCAACACATGTATGGAGGGGCAGGACGTGGGCTGAATTCGCAATTCTGTCCCCCAGGAGTAGCTGGCTTTCAGGGACACAGTCCAACTCCTTGTGATTGATTTTATGATTAATAATAACCCCATTGTTAACTATCTACAAATGTTACATTCTTTCAATTAATCCTCACAAAAATTCAAAAGGCTAGAATTATGATTTGTTTTACAGATAGCTAAACTGAGCCTGAATCACTTCTTCAAGTTCTCCTAACAAAGAGTTGACATCCATATGTAGATGTAACTCCAAAGTCCCCTACTTGTCCCAATGTCAAAAGAGCAGATCCTTTCACTACTTTTTCTGGAAGAATACATGAGGAATTACTATGTAAATGACTGTCTGAGAAAGCTATCCAGGAAGGTGACTTATTCCCATTAGTGAAGTATCGTCACCTCATGGCTTCCAGGAATCCACTTTTCTCCACTGTCCCAATTCATTACCTCCCTGTCTTGAGTTTTGTGAACAAAGCTGAAAATCTTGGTAGGGTATAACAAAATATATTGAGAAAGAACTAGAAATCAGCATGAAACCATGTTCTATAAAGGAAACATTTTCCCCCCAGCGATCTCTAAAAGGGACTCAATCATAATGGCTGCAATTTTGTCCAAAATACATGTGCTGGAGGGAGCACGGAGTTTGCTTAAAGTAATCCCTAGTGGCTAAATTGTGCCAATTAAGCATCAATATTAAATACCTTATAATTAAGTGAAATTTGCCTAGATTGTAAAAGGCCATAAATTCATCTGAGTCAAATGTGTTAAAATGTAACACACAAATATGTAGACATGATAGATGAAAATAAGTATAAAGTGTAAATTTATATATACCAACGTAAAGTTATATACATTTCCATTAGTTATAAAGGCATATAAATATGTCTATAGGTGTGTATATGTAGTTTGGATAGATGGAAGGATTGGTAGGCAGGTAGATAGACAGACAGACAGAGATCTTCTCTCTCTCAGGTCTTCACTCAAAAGTTAACTTCAGAAGGGGCCTTCCCTGGCTCCCCACCCCTTCCTTCATCTTTTTCTCCTTAGAATTTACTCACTTATATATTTTACTTACACATCTTTTTCATTGTCTTCCTCATTAGAAATTAGCTCTCTGAAGGCAGAAATTTTTTGTCTGTTTGGTTCACTGCTGTATCTCCATTGCTTAGATTAGAACAAAGCCTGGCACACACTAGGCACTTAATACAAAAAATTTAAATGAAATATGCATCTTCAGATAACACATACACACACATAAACAGAAATCTCCAGATGGTACTAATAACAATCAAATATTAATAAAGCATAAATTTTCACTAATGCTAAGAGATCAGGTCAATAGATCACAAGACAATGGGTTGTAGAGTGGAAGACAAAATTTAGCACCTCATTGTAAGGAGAAACATTGCAAAATACAAAAACTTATGCTAAAGACATGGGTATAAAAGATTTTATCAACATTACAAGCGAAGTTTAACTATATAAACATAGAATGAACCAGTGCCTTAGGTTTTTGTCACTCTAGAGGATGAAATCAGGTGCCATACTTAGATCAAAAATCAATTAGTAACTGGGCACAGTGACTCACCCCTGTAATCTCAGCACTTTGGGAGGCCTCTAATTCCATGAGGCCGAGGTGGACAAATCACTTCAGGCCAGGAGTTCAAGACGAGCCTGGGCAACATGGCGAAACTCCAACTGTACAAAAAAACACAAAACTTAGCCAGGTATAGTGGAGCATACCTGTAGTCCCAGCTACTCAGGAGGCTGAGGTGGGAGGGTCACTTGAGCCCGGGAAGTTGAGGCTGCAGTGAGCCATGATTGTGTCACCGCATTCAGCCTGGGTAACAGAGTGAGACTCTGTCTCAAAAAAAAAAAAAAATCAGTTAGTGAGCAACTCAGACTCTTTACTGGTCTGAGTCATTCTTCTTCAAGTTTGGTAAGTTTACTGTAACCTTGTGAAACTTTCTGAAATAAATTATTACTTAGTGCTTGGAAATTACAAAAATAAATATCCCCCATACCTCCAGGAAATACAATTTAAAAATAAAGAAATGATGACATGAATTAAGCTTATAATATTAATGTTTTAGATTAGATGTAACGTAAGTTTGGAAATATTTTATAATCATATTGTTTCTGTTCAAGGTTTGAAGTACTGAGTCACTAAATCTGTATTTTCAGCTGTTTAAAGGGAATTTGTCTGAATATTTATGAAAAATAATTTTCAGATTTTTATTAAAGTACAAATTGAATATTAAACAAATTATATGCACATATAAATCCTTCATTCCTTCCTCATTCATTTGTTCTGGTATGTTTTTATAGAAGTTCTTCAGGCAATGCCCAATATTCTTACTGTTCAAGACGGCCCAGCTACCATATCACCAGTTTATTTCCCTACATCCATTCAGATTAAAAAGAAATGTATTTTCTCACAATTTCATCTTCCTCATTACTCCCAATAATGGAAATTATTTAGTCTCTAACAATTTTAGGCATTAACTGCTTTGCTTTTACCATCTGTTCAAAACAACTCATTCTATCTGCCAGCAATATCTTTGTCTGATATCTCCAGCTGCAAAGAAGTTGTCCATAAAGTTCTTAAACCAAATTTAGAGCCCACCCACAAGAGACCTCGTTTACAATTTTATTATATTTTGCCACAGAATATGTTTAGACCCATACTGAAAGAAGAAAATTAAGGTCCTCCTTCAAAATGAAGAGCCATTCATTACACAAATGAAGCCATTATTCTCTTAGCTTTCCAGTCTCTCTTTACAGGCATATGGTGACTCACTGTGACAAATGATTTTAACTCCTTAAGGGAGAGCCTGTTAGAGAATTTTACTTGGTGAATTTTATAACAGTCATCCATATTGTGAAAAAAACTAAGAAACGCTAAAATAATTTATCGACAAGTAAAATCTAACAATTATCTCAGCTTTGTGGAGGCTGTATATTCAACTTTCATCAACTTGTTATATCATAAGTTTTCTCTTCAGAATAAACAACTATGCCATGTAAAAATTAAGGCTTTCTCATATGTATAGCAAACACAGAATGTGTGAATCAGTACTCTAATTTCATGAGGCAAAATCTAATCCAAATTAAGCAAAAAAAAAAAAAAAAAAGAAATTTACTGGATCACAAAAAGAGAAAAAGGATGGCGCAGCTGTCAAGAATGGCTGGATCCAGGAGATCAAACAGTATCATCAGATTTCCGCCTCTCAGCTCCATTTTCCTGTTAGATTTCTCTTTGGGAAAGCTTTCCTCATGAGTGGCAAAAAGGCTACTGGCGAGTTTTTAATCTTATTAAATCCTTGAAACTTGCCATTGCAGAAAAAAATCTCTCTTACTACCCATAGCAATACCCCCAAAGGACTTCACTGATCCACAAAGAGCCATCTGCCAATCCCGTATCACTAGGTTGCGGGATATGATTGGCCAGACTGTGACCAATCACGCCTGTAATGCCACACTTTGGAAGGCGGAGGTGGGTGGATCACCTGAAGTCAGGAGTTTGAGACCAGCCTAACCAATATGGTGAAACTCCATCTCTACTAAAAATACAAAAATTAGCCAGGTATGGTGGTGGGCACCTGTAATCCCAGCTACTCAGGAGGCTGAGGCAGGAGGATTGCTTGAACCCAGGAGGTGGAGGCTGCAGTGAGCCAAGATGGCACCACTGCACTCCAGCCTGGGCAACAGAGCAAGACTCTGTCTCAAAACACAAAACAAAACAAAACATAAGTAATGGACATCTACTAATGAGTTACTTCAAATAATACTCATAAACTGAAATATGAACTACATGCAAAGAATTACTAACCAAAAAGAACTCACTAATTTTCAATAAGGACTGATGGCAACCCAATGTTTTCTTTCCTCTACTTGTTATAATCAGAGTGTTTCTCTATTATGAATTCTCTGATGTCGTCTAAGGGCTGAGACACAGCTAAAATTATTCCCACATTCATTACATTTATAAGGTTTTTCTCCAGCATGAATTCTCTGGTGTAGCCTTAGGGACAAGATCTGATGAAAAGCCTTCCCACATTCATTACATTCATAGGGTTTCTCTCCAGTATGAATTCTCTGATGGTGATTAAGATAAGAGCCGCAACTGAAAGCCTTCCCACATTTGTTACATTCATAGGGCTTCTCTCCTGCATGACTTCTCTTGTGGTGAATTAGAACTAAAGCATCACTGAAGGCTTTCCCACATTTACTGCATTCAAACGGTCTCTCTCCAGTATGAATTCTATGATGCCGATTCAGTTGTGAGTCAGTCCTAAAAAACTTCCCACATTTGATGCACTCATAGGGCTTTTCTCCGGTATGAATTCTCTGATGTTGATTCAGGTGTGAGCGATAGCCAAAGGTCTTCCCACATTCACTACATTTGAAAGGTTTCTCTCCTGTGTGAATTCTTTGATGCAGAGTAAGGGCTATGCGTCTGCTGAAGGCTTTTCCACACTGATTACATTCATAGGGTTTCTCTCCAGTGTGGATCCTCTGATGTTGGTTAAGGTGTGCACTCTGTCGGAAGGCTTTGTTACATTCCTTACATTCATATGGTTTCTCACCTGTGTGGATTCTCTGATGTTCAATGAGGAAGGCATAACGGCTAAAGGCCTTCCCACATTCATTGCATGCAAACGGTTTCTCTCCAGTGTGGATCCTCTGATGTTGAGCAAGGTGTGCACTCTGTCTGAAGGCTTTGTTACATTCCTTACATTCATAAGGTTTCTCCCCAATATGAGCTCTTTGATGTTCACTGAGAAAGAAGTCATGGCTAAATGCTTTTCCACAGTCATTGTATGCATATGGTTTCTCCCCACTGTGAATTCTCTGAGGTTGAGTCAAGAACGAGTAACAGCTAAAGGCATCACCACATTCATCATATCCATGGGGTAACTTTCCAAAATGAGTGGTCTGATGTTGAGTAAGTAATGAGTGGAAACTTAAGAGATTTGAAAAATCATTACTTTCATAATGTTTCTCACTAAGAGGAATTCCTATATCTTTACTAAAGTATGTACTCTGGTTGAATTCTTCACATTCATTACCTATCAAAGATTCCTTCTCAGCACAGAGGCTTTTATATGCAATTATGACTGAATTTTGGGGGAAGATTTTATCATAAATATCAAATTTATGTACTTGCTGTATGGTAGGAACTTTCTGTTGTCTTAAAAATACTGATTTCAGGGGTGTGCTTCTCCCAGAATCACTATATTCATTGTCTCTTTCCCCAGTAGAGATTTCCTTAATCACTTGCATGAAAGGCTTCTCCTCATTTCCCTGATGTAGCTCAAATTCACCCTTGTATTTCCAGGCTTCTCTGAAACTGCAGCGGTCAAGGCCATGACTTGCTAGCTTTTCCATTACCAACTCCTGGGATATTTCATCTTCATCAGTGAACCATTTTGGAGATAATTCCTTGATTTCACACCAAGACTCCCAGTCTGAAAAACATCAAGAAAGCAAGTATCTCCTTTGTTCTTTTGCTACGAGGAAGAAAACCGTTAGAGAAGAAATGGAAGAATTTAACCGGGGGGAAGGAGGGTAGAAAGTACGTGGTTCTAACATCTCCTAAATGTGGCCATGCAATATGAACAAAAGAGAATGGAAACACGAAGAATAAAGAGAGCTGAGAACGAAGGTGTATGTGTTGCTGATGGGGAGGTGGAAGTTGGGGAAACTGGTAAAATACAGGTCATCAAAAAGCAGGCAAAGCTAAATGCTAACAAGGTAAGGAATTGAGGATGTCTGATTAGATCACAGCCAGTTTCCCTGCCTCTAGTCTTTAAAGCCTCCAGTCCCTCCTGCACTGGAATTCATAAGACTGAAAGCTCCATGAGGGCAGGCACTGACGTTCACTCCCTTTTCTTCTACTGTTGCATCCAATGCCTCGGACAATGTCAGCACATTGTTAAATGAATGACTACTGCCAGATTAATTTCATAACAACTTTTCCCACTAATGCTATTCAACAACTAAGATTTCTATCAGGGTCCAGGAGAGACTTATATATATATTTTTCCCAGTGATTAAAAGAAACCTCATGGTCAGCTTTTCTCATCATTGAGGGAAAATGATGATACTGAGAAGATGTGTACTTTCAGGAGAGGATATTGGTTGGGGTAAGGCAGAAAGAAAACTATTTTTTAGAAGATGATCTCAAAAAATGAGAAAGTCCTTTTCATACCACAATAATCAGCCAATATATTCAAATATATGAACCTACTAGTAGGCCCCCAGTACCTAACAGATGGGGGGGAAGCCTGACACAGGGTCTTTCTACCCTTTGTAGATTCTGAGAGCTCAAGCCTGTGCATATGATTATTCCCTATGGCACGTAATGAAGGACGAGCTAATATGTGATAGATTATTAGAGGCATAAACTTCAGGAAAAAAGAGATCAAAACTCACGAGCTTAGTTAAGGAATAATTCTTGGAGAACATGAGCTCCATTTTCAAGGCTGTAATCAGGATTCTGAAACTTAGTGACTATTTCAGTAACAGAGACATTTTCATGTTTAGATGGGGTTAAGGATTATTTTACAACTACCTATTTTGGCATTAGGGGTTAAATAGATACAGTATTTGCCATAAGTTTCCCATCTGTTGAAAAGTAAAGCTGTCTCCAGTATAGGTCAGAACAAAATTGAAAAGAAAATATTATTCATCTGCATCTTTCTTCTTTCCAATACACCCTTCACGCAAGGAAAGCCCTCAGCCCTATCAGTCTGTCCTATACACAGCCTTGGATTTTCTTACCAGGGCCCCGTCTACACCCAGGCCTGAGAGGATTTGTTTGCCTATCCTTGGTTAGGACCCTTCCTTCCTTCCTTCCTTCCTTCCTTCCTTCCTTCCTTCCTTCCTTCCCCTTTCTTCCTTCCTTCCTTCCTTCCCTTTCTTCCTTCCCTTTCTTTCTTTCTTTCTTTCCCTAGAAATACAACTACTTCTGTTCCCTCACTCACTTGCCTGGATCTCATCTCTTATATACATCAACTGAAGCCACTCTATTCATCTTACCAAAAATAAGTCTTTACTCCAGGCAAATAGCAGATTTATACAATAACTATCTTAATGCTGAATAAAAGAAGCCTGATGGGAGAAGACTACAGATATTTTCCAATATGGGGTACTCTGAAGTGCCTGGAGCTCCAGCCACTGTCTTTACACATAGACTTACAGTTTGGATCCCCTTGATTAAAAGACTGCATAGAGCTATGCTATCCAATATGATAGCCACTAAGTATATGTGGCAATTCAAATTTAAATAACATTTTTAAATTAGTCCCTCAGTCACACTAGCCACACTTTTAAGCACTCTAAGCCAAATGTGGCTAGTGGCTACTGTATTAGAAAGCACACATGTAGATTATTTCCATCATCACAGAAGGTTCTACTAGAGGCCAAGCATGGGGGCTCTGCCTGTAATACCAGCACTTTGGAGGCCGATGTGGGTGGATCACTTGAGCCCAGGAGTTCAAGGCCAGCCTGGCCAACATGGTGAAACACCGTCTCTACTGAAAACACAAAAATTAGCCGGGTGCGATGGCTCACACCTATAATCCCCGCTACTCAGGTGACTGAGGCATGAGAATCACTTGAACC